AGCAGTTAGTACAACCGACTGCCATATTGTTAGACTTGTAGAACCTGAAGAAGACTTAAGACGTTTTGGACATATGCAAGGCCTATGCAGCATGGGGGTACTTAAATTACTTGTAAGCTAAAAGTTATATCAAGAGCTTTGGCAGTAAAGGAAAGAGAGGCAGAAGACCTTCAGATCCATCACCTGAAGTGTTCTCTATCAAAATTTGGACAGAATTTCCTTGTTTTTGCAGGCATAAAATTGGCTGCCTCCAATCATGGACCTTAAACAAAGTTCTCAATAATGACACAGCATAAATACCAATGGATATTATCCATTACCAACAAATGCACCAAGTTGTAAATGTGCAGCCATTTGAAATAACATCATTATTTGGAAATTCAACACGAGTGATTTACTAAATTTGATCATATTTTTGTCCTTTAATTAGGAAAGGCTATGAATAATAGAAAGATGAAGGATTAATTGCTTGAAATTATGAATGGTCAGTTTACAAACAACAGAAAATTTACTCAAATTTATGTAATGCAAGACAAAACAATTATCCTTATTAATGAGCCTTTATCCTGCATTTTTATAATGCAGTAAAATTATTTAAAACTATACCCTGAAGACTAGAAAAAACAAATGAAATGCAAGTTCTAATTTGTAGCTGTTTCATTCTTAATTGCTATTTCTAACATTTGAAATTTTACTACTGAACAGGTATTACTTCATAAAATTGCCAGCAAGTTGCCAATTTAAAAACTCTTTTTGTCTGGTATATCAGCTTAACAAAAAGTTTTTAAAATTGCTAAGTATACACTGTTTAGGCTTACCATACCTCCTGGTTTACCCCAGACAGTCTTGGTTTTTTAGTGTTGTCTGGGGTTTGAGAAGTTTATGACCGGTGAGTGTTTTTTAAAATTTAGACCTATATGTTCGATGTCATGTTTTTAAAATTCTCTTACCGCCATGCATTTCTCAGCCGACCTTGTCACAAGCACTGTCGATTTTGATGGAGGCGTGGCTACCGTCCCACCACAACATTTTATTTAGTTATTTGGCAACACAACAGGGGCAATGTGTTTATTTTGTTTTCCTATGTGAAATCTCGCCTACATGACTTTGATTATTTTACCTCTATTTGTTTTTTGTCTCGTCATAACAATGGGCAAAGGAAAATGTGTATTTAATGGTAACCTCAAAGAGGAATACAAATTTTTGAAATTATGTAATGACAGTAACAATGAACATGTTTATTGCACACTATGTACTGGAGAATTTTCTAATGCACATAAAGGAAAAGGGGATATTGAAGACCATATGAAAACAGATAAACATAGGAAGAGTGCTATTAATGCTACTACGTCAGCAAACATGAGATTTTTTTTTTTAAAGCCAAAGATAGTAATAGCAATAACAATGATCTTGAGTATGCTGCTAATGAAGCTTCATTTTTATACCACACTGTTAGACATGAACTCGGTTTCAAAACATCAGACTGCACATCTAAACCATTTAAAAAGTTATATGACCCAAAATTTTCATCTGCTAGAACAAAAACAGAGGCAATTATTGTCAAAGTTATTTCACCATTTACATTTGATAATGAGTTGCATTCTTAGGAAAATTATAATTATGTAACAGTAATGATGAATAGTTCAAACAGAAGAGAAGTAAAACTTGTTCCAATTGTTGTAAGATATTTCACCCTGCAGGAGGGAATTCAAGTTAAGCTTTAATTTAAATTTCGATGAAGTGTCAGGTGAAACTGTTCAAATTTTGACTTGCAGTGCTTGAAAAAATATAAACTTGGAAGAAAAGTTGGTTTGTTATACTGCCAATAACACTAACAGTAATTTCGGTGGTGTGAAGAGAAAGGGGAATGAAAATGTGTTCAGAAAAGTTCAAAATGATTTAGATAAACTTATTTTAGGAATTGGTTGTTCAGCCCACATTGTACATAATTCAGTACAAACAGCATGCGATTCTCTACTCCTGGATATAGAAGTTATTGTTATAAAAATTTACAAGTATTTTCATATATATACAGTAAGAGTAACGAAACTTAAAGAGTTCTGTGAATTTGTGGAAACAGATTACGAAAAAGTATTATCTCATAGCAGCACAAGATTTCTTAGTTTGTTACCTGCAATATATAGAATTCTTTCCATTTTTGATGGCCTAAAATCATACTTTCTATCTTGTGACAAATGCCCAAAATTATTGTTTCATTTTTTAATCTAGAAAGTGAACTGTATTTGAAATTTTTATATGGTACTCTACAGTTATTTAATAATGTAGTTCTGAAACTGGAAGCTAATTCTATCACAGGAACAGAAGCATTTCAGACATATTCTGAATTAATTTGTCAACTTCAGGAAAGAAAAACCCACAAATTTATACAGTCAAAGTCGTTAATTCGGACACCCATAATCCGGAATGATTTATATTCCGGACCTTAAAGCTAAAAACTTTCTGCGCATGCGCCACGTTGACACATGCGCATAGGCGTTTACGCATGCGCGTAAGACCTTTATGACTGCGCATATGTGTGTGTGCAAGTGCAGAATACGTTTTTGCGTACGCGTTTAATGTATAACGGACGGTATAAGCTAAAATTATCTAATTATCTATTTCAGTTAATGTTGATGATTGCGTTGTTCCTTAATCTTCAAATTGGATGCGACTTATTATTTTTTGCAGACTGTAGGAGCAATTTTATAAAAGTAAACTTCTTTCGATTATGTCAAATAGAATTTCCGATGCTGGAGCTCCCAAAGGATCTACAAAACGAAAGGATGTTTCGACGTCCCTCAAACAAAAAGTGGAATTGCTGCAAAAAATGGATAAAGACATGAAGAAGGTGACAGAGAGGTTAGTGAAAACAAAAAAATTTCGATTGACAAGTTAAGCGGTATTCTCGGCACATCAATTACTGGACTTGAACAGCGAAACTTTGTAAGTGAACAAGAAATTATGTCTGTTTATAAAATTAAAGAGAAAGTATTATCACATAAAACGAAGCAACTTAACAACTTACAGTGAAAGAAATGTTATAAATATTAAGCTTTTTTTTTTTTTTTTTTTTTTTTTTTTTTGTAAATTTTGATACTCTTTAGATCATAATTGTTCTTTATTTCATAAATTACGGTTTCATATTTTTAATTTTAGAATTTCTGCATGCCATCTTACGAGATTTAAACTGATGATCTATAATAAGGAAAAATCGATAATCCAGAACCGCCGAAGTCCTGACGAGTCCGGATTAACGACTTTTGACTGTACCATCTTCTGCCAAAGAATTGCAACGCACTCTAAAAGAAAATAATGATGTTCAGAAACAAAAATTCTTTTCAAGCAAAGACAATTTTTATAATTCTAGTATTCAATATTTAGAGTTATGGAGAACCAGTTTTGATGAAGTTATTAAGTTTCAATGGATAAATTTATGAACTGAAATTGCCTGGTCTGATTTGGAAGAGAGTGCACAGGTTGTTAATGAAATTATAAAAAATTCTATAAATAGTGATGACTTATTTGATGAACGTACATCGTTGAAAAATATAATTCAAAACCTAGGTAGGTTGTGGATCTGAAAAAGTATCAGATACTATTGAAGAGAAGTGGGAAGCAATTTTTAAAATGTTTCCAAAGACTGATATTTCAAGTTGCAAAATTGTTTAAATGGTTGCATTTGCAATGTCTTTGCTTGGGAACCTGCTTTAGTTGATTTTTTCAATTATGAGGAACATTTGGCCTGCAGAAAGAGGTAGGCTTTCCGTATCTACTTTCAAACATCAACTAAATGTTAAAATTAATTCAGAACTTTCTTGTTGTGAATTTTATGATATAATTAAAACAAAGAAACCATTTCTGGAAAAAGTCATGTCCAGTGAAAAATACTACTGAATAAATAAAGTTTAATGTTTCAGTAAACTGTTACGACTTTTAAACAACCCAGGACATATTTTAAATATGTCCTGCGTTGGACCCTAAAAAATATGGTAAGCCTAGACCTGTTGTGGAAAGAAATTTTTCAATAATCATTATGAAATAATGCAATTTATTTAATTCTCATACCCAAAGTTGAGTTTAAGTGTCAATATTACATACATTCATAGTTTTTTCCTCATAATCAGTTAATCTTCAGCTAGGGCTCCAAGACCGGTTTTAGTGATTGTTGGAACAATTTTCAAATTTCATTGGTCAATCTTTGGATTATGGTAACTTGGCGATTTTTTGGCGACCAACCCTGCTACAGCAACCTGCTAGTTTTTGTTTGGACGCCATTTTGTTTTCACAAAGTAAAGGCATGTTTTTTTTTTTTTTTTTTTCTCTCAACATTTTTTTCCAGCAGTCTGCTAGCCAAATTACGCTTATGCTAGAACTTTTATGGAACAAAAGTGCTTAATGATGATGAAGATTAGGTGCAAAATTGGGACAAGTGCAGAATCGCCCACTGCTTGCCGCATTTTTAAGAACTGCACATACACGATATCATCCATGTACACGTCGACCTATTTTCACTTAAAAAAACATCCCAGAATTGCACAAAAATGGCATTGCGCACACTCTTGACTTTATGCATGTACACTGCTAAAGTCCTAGCTAGTAACCTTTATTGCCTTACCAAAATGTCGCCAAACTACCTGTTACCATATTCCAAAGATTAGCCATTTTATTAAACAAGAAAGCTACCACATTCATTATCACTTTCATAATTTTTAACAAATATTTCACCGAAAGTGACCAATCTCATATCCCAGAAGATTTGAAACCGAAAACTCAGCTTTACATTATTATACACTCTTTAGGATCATTTTAGAAAACACATATTTGCTAGTATTTCTAAATAAAGATAACTAAAAACCAATCAGAAATTTCAAATTCATTAAATAACAATGGATGTCATATCTTGATTTAAATTTTACTATATGAAAATTAGTTAATAAAAATAATAATAATAAATAAACAACAAAAGTTAGTTGAAAAATAACAAAAATCAACTTCAAATATTTATAAGTAATCTTATAACTTTCAATACCTTTTACTGTGATCTAGTTAAAATTTAATACATTCCTCTTTTCAAAGTTTCATAGTCAATCAGCTTTGAAATAGGTCCTATTGCTGCTATAGTTGGTAGTTTATTTTTCAAATATTTAGAACATACTTCTCTTACAACATCAGCATTTATCATTTCAATACGTGCTTCCATTTCCGACACTGGTATTCGGCGACTATAATTTAACATCTGACGGCCAATATCTTCAAATATTGGTGTTGAACCATCTAACAAAAGCAATGCATTAGTCATTAATAAATTTTTAGCTCTCTGTACTTCTGCCTCAGTCACTGATGTACAAATACGATGCCATTCTTCTTGCACAGAAAATATCATATCATTTAGAGATTTACTATCACAAACTAAATAGATTCCCCACAATCCAGTATCTTTATAACATGTATTAAAGGAAAGAAAACTATGGCACAAATTTTTTGAACCTACATCATATGCTAACTTGCTATAAATATTTCCACCACTTCCATGAGACCTATCCCAATTGCCAATTAATATATTGGCAATCAGTAAAGGTATACTTTCAGGATTCGTCCAACCACAGCCTTCCACAGCAAGAGCAGCATGTACAAGAGGCATCGCTTCATCACATAAACGAGATTCAGTACCGGTAAACGTGCAAGATTTCAGAAGTGATGGGATCATCAGAACCATGACTTTTCAAAGAGCCAAAATAATCCTCGGCTAACTTCACTAATTTTTCATGGCTGACACCACCTGCACCAGTCAATACCATTTTTGATGCAACATAATGATTGGTTTTAAATTCTACTAGATCTTTACGCGATATACTTTTTATGTTTTCTATAGGACCAAGGATTGTACGTCCTAAAGGTGTGTTCTGAAATGCAGCTGCATGAAGATGATCAAAAACCAACTCTTGCAAATTCATTTCAATTTCTTGCATTTCTCTCAATATAACACCTCTTTCAACTTCTATTTCAGATTCACCATACTTACTACTTTGAATAATATCCGAAAGAATATCTATGGCTCTACCAACATCTTTTGTTAAACATTTAGCCTGGAAAATTGTTTGTTCTCTTGATGTGCATGCATTTAAATGAGCACCCATGTTTTCAACTTCTAATTCTAAAGCAGTCTGAGATCTTTTGGAAGTTCCTTTGAAAGCCATGTGTTCAAGGAAATGGGCAACACCATTGTTGTACTCACTCTCATGTCGGCTACCAGCATCTATCCATAGTCCTACAGTACATGTTGGAATACCCGAATCTTCGGTGGCAATTCGTAATCCATTAGACAGCTGGCTTACTTTAGTTTCTGGAACATTTAAAATTTTTTCAGAAACTCTTGCGCAAGCTGATCCTGTTCTGCGCGCGATCTTCGCAATCTGAAAAATATTTCGGAATAACATTTTAATTTGAAACACGTTTCGTCAGTCACCAATTCACAACTAGCGGCTCAAAACAGGGATGGCTGTGAACGGCTCCCTATGAGAAAATCTTTTGAACGAACTGCGCATGCGCCGTTTCTTTTTATCGCCAACAAATGATGGTAAACCTATTGTAATTTCTCGCCAGCGTTTCGCGTTTTATTTGAATTAGCGTAGGTGTTATCAGTGAGATTAATAACAACGATAATAAAAAAAGTCATTTCAAATGTTACGCAAGGAAATATTTTTTGCTCTTTTTTCACACTATATATGCTATCATCGATAGAATTAAGAACTTTTAGTAATTAGGTCAAAATTAATTTTAACGTGTAAATTTCAAACTCACAAATTTGAGTACAGATTTTCATCAGATGTCTGAAGGCAGTTACTATATTTCAGTACAGTAAATCCTGGAATATAAAAGAAAAAAATTTAATTTTAAGTCTATTCTTCAGCTTCATTCTAATTCCTATCGATACATCTCTCTAAAACAGTTTATTACAGAAGTTTCAGATGTAAAAGAAGTTCATAAAAGTATTAATCAATGAAATTATTTCCAATGGTCGGTGAAATTGGTTGCAGTTTCAGACACTGTTGCAGAAGTTTTCACATACAATTGCTGTTTATTGTGCAAGTAATATTGAAACTAACTAAAGTGCTTGCATAGATTTCTGCATCTTGGCGGAAAAAATGGAACATTAGTGGAAACAAATTATGTATATATTGATACTGTAAAATTTGGGAGGTTTCAAAGACCCAGCAGAAAATATGGTGGCATTGATATCAGTTTACATATTTACTTTTCCAGACTATTATATCTGAAAAGTACGAAAAGCATTTCATCTACACCATCAGCTTCTTACAAAAATAACTGAGGCTCATCTCAGTTATTTTTGTAATATAGTATGTACGTATTATAAAAGATGCTGTGAATGTAATTTGCTGTACAAGATAATAAACATGAGTGTCGTCAGGATTTTTAAATATATGTTTGAACAATTATGTACAAAACATTCCTTCAAATTCACTTGAAAGAAATGAGGAAACGAAACTGAAAAATTCAAGAATCAGTAAAAAGCAACTTTTTTTTATATTTGGATGATATTTTCTTAATGCTATGTTTAAAATCACAATTTCTTAAACTGTTTGTTTTAAGTATACATTTATACTTCTTGCAGGGTTAAAGTGGCCCTAAATCAACATAATTTATTATATTATAAATAATGAAAATTGTACATTACTTATATAAAGAGAAACATAAAGTGACATAGTATGTTAAGATAGGTTTGCAAAGGTAATTTAAATATTTTCATTGTGCAAGACTTGTATGCTTAAGAATTTTTCAATCTTGGTGTTATTTATCGTATAAAACATCACGATTCAAATAAAAATACTATTTTGTGGTATAATTCCATTATAGGAGCCTGTAGCAAATTGCAGCAAAAATATATGCGCAAAATCTAACGAAAGCGGCGATTTCACACCACGTAAATTTAAATAGTTCTATATTTGTAAGTCATCGCCCACACGATATATTGATTAGGGAAGCTGACTGCGATACTACACAAGGCCTGGGCTCGAATTCCGGAGAAGGCATGGTTATAACTGCCTGGTTCCTTCATAGATTTTTCCGCACACCCCTATTGGTTTATTAGGTGCCTCCATAATAAGTGTGACCACCACCTGGGCCTTAGTTGTGGCCAAGCCGAAGGCCCGCCGTTGGGGGGGGGGGGAATATTTGTAAGTCGCCATTGGAATACTGGTTTATTTTTTTTTAATTCTTTTTTGATAATGATATGGATCTAACAATTTGGGAATTGCCCAATGACAAAATGTCTGCAATATAATTTTTCCAAAGAAAAGACATCATTCATTATAGAATATTATGATCGAAAAACCACGAGATGAAATTATGCTTTAGCGGTAACTCAATAGCGAAATGGAGATGCAGGAATGAACCTGTATTCTGAAGAAAGGATTAAGAAGTCAGACATTGGATCGAAGGAACAAAAATCCCCTTCCTTATAACTGATAGGCAGGCTCACCTATTTTTGGTATCAAGAGATGACATCTATTGAATTTTGTGAACTCCAACTGAAGATGAACCACAATACAACTGTAGACTGGAAGATATGCGTGAGGTGTGTGCCATAGCTTTAATTTCTCAGCCTAAGTTGAAATTCGGCGGATGTGGAAAAAATTATGAAGCAGACAAAAGCCTTTTCAGTAGAAGCAAGAATAACATTGGACGTCTTCTTCTGCCACAATGGGTTTTCGGTGGATTGTGCAGAGAATCAAAAGAATGTTTTAGTCGCTATTCCAGATCGATCGGTGAAAACCTTATGGAACATCATAAAGGTTTGGTTTGGTTTATGTGATTAGAGCAAAGCCTCGAGGGCTATCTCCCTAAGGGAAGAGAGGCCTACGTGGAGGACTTTCTAAGGGAAACTGGCTTGTATACACGTTACACATAGAGAAAACCATTAAATTGTCCATACAGCCAGCCCGTTTGCGGGATTCAAACCTCAGACTGAACTACCAGTGTTCAGCGACTTTATCGCTCGGCCACTGATGTTCGAACATCATAAAGGAAAATGTCACAGAAGGAAGCATTATTTATACTGACTGCTAGAAATCATATAAGTTGGATGAACTGCGATATGTCGACATTGAACATTTTACTGTCAACCACAACTAGAATTTTGTGGATCCCGAAACGGGGACCATACGCAAACGATACAACGACTGTGGGGCAGTGCTAAATGGCGTAATAAACACCATCGGGGCATATTTCAATTCTTATTTGTCCGAGTTTATGTATAGACATTTGCACAAAAAAAAAAAAAACTTAAATTTTTTTCTGCGATGTTGCAGGATCTTAAAAATTTTATGCCTCCCGTTTAATTTCACTTATTTTTAACCTTTTTTTTTAATAAATTAAATTAACAAAAAGTGTAATATATGAAGTTAACCTTCCATCAACTTAAATTAATAATCTTAGATAGTTACAATAATGCTTTCTTACAGTTACAATTAGCCGTTTGTTTATATTAAATTATAATAATAAAGTGTATTATATGAAAGAAACTTTCATCTAAATTAAAATAATACTCTTAGATAGTTTATTTTTTATTATTATGCTTTTCTTGAGTTAAGGTTACCATAATTATTTTGGCATCAACAATAGTTTTGGTAATTTTTTGCGGTCCCTATAACGGAATTGTACCGTATTTTTTAAATGAAAAATCTAGTTATTTAAGTCCTTTTATCTATAAAAATACATACTGCAATTATTTACTTAAGTCATAAGGCCCTTTTCAAAAGTTTATGTCTAATTTAAAATAATTAGTTAATGTCAACTTAATCATATATATAATTATTGTAAAATCGTGGTGTTTAAAATGCTTTTCGCTACTGAAAAAGAGTGTTTTTGTTATAACTTTATAGAATTAAAAATCCCTCAAAGTAGTATATTTATAGTTTAAAATGTTTGTTAATAAAAATTTATTTATTTACATGATGTTTCTTAGAGTGAAGTAAAAAAAAAAAAAAAAATGATTGCTTGCTTATTTATATTCATGAAGGTATATTTCTAATACAAGTAATAATAACTTTTGAAAAATGTTTCATGATTCGAGTAAAATCTGGATATAAGGGCCTTTATAGCAGTCGAAACAATGTCGTTTCTTGTCAAATTGTATGTGCCATGTTCAAATGCATGATTTATGTGAATTGAATCACAAATTTGATTCTGCTTTGATCTGAGTGTTTCATGATTTTTTGCTGTATTGAAGAAAATTTTTTGGAAATTAGTTAATGGCATTAAGGTTCTTTAACCAGTTCACCGTTTGCCCCGAGAGAGATACATTCACAGGAAAGGCATCGTCATCCGTTAGCGTCGGCAGACTCTCGTCGGGGTGAAATATGGGCTGAACCGTAACCCCCGAGACACATACGACGCAGCGACTTTTTTCCAACCCCCACAGAATGAGTCGAAAATCAAAAGGGGCGATTGATGGGTTACTTATCTTCTCAGCGGTGTCACATTAGGATCACAGCGGGGCTGTTTCAGGAAAGTAAAGGATGGGCACACTTTCTTCGAACAGCTACACCCTCAACATATCTTATGAGATTCACAACAGCTTTCTCCCTTTCTATTAACGAACAAAGGGATTTGAATGCTATCTTTTCAATTCTTAACGATTCAAATCTTCTCTTTTGTTACAGGCCATCAAAATAATAAAACAAAATTCAAGAACATTTCAAATACTAGCTAATGCCCTTATTTTTACTTTATATAAAGCTTTTTCTGGACAATTAAAAATTACATTTACATTGTAATAGATTGCAATAGATTTGGGGTTGGGTGCAGGAAGTGGAAGTGGGGTTGAGTGCAAAGGGAAAAATATCTGCTCTAAGTACTACACCAGTCTTTGTGTTTTATGTTGCCACTTAGGGGTCGTTATTCACCATCCTTCAGTGTGACAGGTATGCTGTTCAATCTGATTTGAACAGAACTTCTAAAGGCTTTCACAGGTTGTGAAAGGGAAAAAGAAATACTCTGAGCCCAGTTTTAGACACAAAAAGTTTACCTTTGCATGCGAAAAATGGCACGAAATGTTTGCGATTTTCCTAACGGTGAACTGGTTAAATTAGTGTGTTCAAGATTCGGCGTATATGAATCTATTCATGCACATTATGTTTCTGAGAATAAAATCAGAAAACTGTTATCCTCCTTATTTATAAATATGTTGGTAATTTCAAATGTAGGTAATAATGGAACTCTGATGTAAATAGAATTATTATAAAAAATGTTGTATGATTCTGACAAAATTTGAATGTAAAGGGTTTTTATATCATTTGACACAAGGCTGCGGTTATTCACTTAAATCAATTAGGCTCTTTTCAGATTGTATCTGCCATGTCCAAATGCACAATTGATGTGAATTTAATCACAAGTTTGATTCTAATATATGGAGTTTTTTTCTAATTTTGAAGAAAGTGTTTTTGGATATTGACTAATAGCATTAATACTCTTTCAAATAATGTAGCTATTATTTAATGTAGAGTTTATGTGAATCTATTCATGCATGTTGTTCCTGAAAATGACATCAGAACATTAAATACCTGTTTATTTATATTCATGAAAAAATATTTCAAACCTAGGTAATTATTTATTACTATTGTA